TCTGCTTTGAGTCTTTCCTTATTCTGAGCCATCCTTCACACAGCTGCCAAATGATTTTTTTTAATCACAAGTCTCACCACATCACTCTCCTATTCAATTCCAATGGCTTTAAATGGTTTCTAGGAACGACAAACTCCTTTACCATTTGAAACTTTTTCACAACCTGGTCTCAATCTTGGAACCACTCTACAATCCAGCCAAACTGTCTTTCTTATGTCTTCATGAATAACCACCATTATGGTATCTCTGCCTTCACACTGGCTGTCCCAGGCCTGGAATGCACTTTTTCCTTATCTAAGCCTCTTTGAATCCACTGTTGCCTTTAAGATTCAGCTCAAGTACCCAGGTTCATGAAGGTTTTACACATAGCAAAAATCTTCAGGGATTACTTATCACCTGCAAAACAGTTTAAACTTCTTTGCTTGTCATTCAAGGTCCAACTATGACCACATGTTATCCTAGAATATGTATATGTGTGACACACATACATCATGCTATGATCACACACTCTATCTTTCACATTCCTCTTCTTGCTTTATGTTCCAGTTAACATAGACTGCTCTATGCCTCAATCATCTACATAAATCTTTCACTTGGTGATCTTATTAGCCCCCATAACTATCTAGCCAGTGGAAACTACTGACTCAGTCTCGCATCTTCAACCTCTTATCAGACATCTTAAACTCCATATATCCAAAACTGAATTATATTTCCACCTAAATCCTAGTCAAGACCCACCATCCTCCCAATCCCCCAGACTCACAACCTAGGCTTCATCCGTGACTCCTCATAATCTCTCACCTTCATAGCCAGTCTATGGCCAAGGTCTATTTTACCCATGCATCTCTCCCCATTTCCCTTCTGATGCTGCCACTACTGTGGTTACAGTCCCTATCACCTCACTTCCTGGGCCTGTAACCTAGCCTCTCCTACCTTTTTAGTCTTCTTAAACCAATTATTACTTGCCTCTGGCATCTTCAAACAAGACAGTCCATCTTCTAGCTCTGGACATAGTCGCTCACTGTTGTTCAACTCTGCCTACGTAGACTTCCCTAACTCCTTCAAATCCCGGCCAACAATCCAACTTTCTAAAGGAAGTTCGTCCTAAAAGAACCTCTTAGTGCTTTCTCTGTGTTGATTATTCCTTATTTATCCAGTGGATAGTGTGTTTACAGTTATCTGCATGCAGTCAAGCCTATCAGATTGTGAGGGCTGGGACTGTGTTCCTAGCACTTAGCACCAGCGTCTGACACATAAGACTGATGGACCACGGACTTAGAATTTCCGATGCTCTTCTGGCCTCAAACCTTTTCCCCTTCGAATACATTCTTCATATAGCCATTAAGTAGTCCGAACTGAATTTTGTGGAAAAGGAGTTAGTGTATAAATCATAACCCAAAATGGATCAGAAAGTCAAATATGCACATGTGAGTCTCAGGGCAGAGAGGAAGTGGGAACAATGGGATTGAGAGGTTTGATTAAGGCTGCAGTATGTCTGTTTAGCAGACAGACATTCTGCAGGACAAGCCTTAATATCCCTTAGGAAAGCAGGAATGACTATAAAAAACGTTCCCCTGCTCTTAGAAGCAGACCTTTAATTACGTGCTAGTGCTTGGCTCATCCTCTCTGGAAGTGTTGGAGGGTAAGTGTGGCATCTTGGGCCATCCTGCAGTCTCCCTCCTGAGTTCCTCACTCCACCAACAACTCAATTTCCTCCTTATAAGGATGTTCTTGGGTGGCAGTGTGAATAGAACTTTCAGGAAACGGGTTCCTGACCTAAAAACAAGTATTTAAGTACCTGCTGGCTGACAGGTAAAATGTGAAATGCTGAGGATATGATACAACTCAGTCTTGTTTCAAAAGACTTGTTTTGACAACTAAGTTCTAGACTCATTTGATTCCACAAACAGCCTAGACAGGTTTTCTAGTAGTGTTCTCAAGTCACCTATCAACCCTATAAAAAGACAGGTAAAGTGATATTGGGGAGATGTTGCTATATTTATACAATTTCTCAAGAACATATTAAACTGATAACATGATTTTTTAAAAACCAGATTGGCCAATCTTAAGTTCTAAGTGCATTACAAAGCTATGCTCATCTTACTTAACACGAAGGAACACTATTCAATCCCACAAGTCCCTCCCAAATAAATCTAAATTGTTCTATTTATTTAATTTATTATTATTTATTTAATTTATTCTATTTATTTAATTTAAATTGTATTTTTTTTAATTGGGACGTAGAGATATTAGAATAAGTAATCATTTTTGTTAGTGCTCTTCTTTGGCACAGCAAGGACAAAATGAGTCAGTACAGAAAAATAAATTCACTCATGTGACAAAATTATATAGATCAAACACAATCAGAATAGACATGAGAGGACACTCCCTCATGGTTCACATGTTATTTTATTACACATATTTCAGATTTTTTTCCCTAACGTAATGAATTATGCTGCATTTTAAACTTTTTTTCTTTAAAAATATTATTATATAGGATGGCTCTCTGAGAGGGAGAAGCAGATAAAGGAAGAAATTTTGGTGATGTAAAAAACAAGCTATTAATGAAATTTATAATAAAACCTCACCTCAACTGAAGGTATTTTTATTGCAGCAAAATATACCATTTTTGAAAGATGGCAAATAAAATCCAACTTTCTACTCAAGAATTTTTGGTCACGTTCTGATTGGCCCAACTACACCTAAAAAGAATTCACTTACAAAGTATCATTGACGGGGCAGCTAGGTGGCACAGTGGAAAGAGCACCAGCCCTAAATCAGGAAAACCCGAGTTCAACTCCAGCCTCAGACCAAACACCTGACAAAAGAAAAAAAATTGTAGCCAAAGTATTGTTGATTTGAAAGCCTGCCAGCTCCTTAAGATTGAGCAGTATTAAACTTCTGTTTTGAAGATAGAAAAAGGAATAAAGGCCATTGTTACATTTCAAAGTACTAAAATAGTTCCTTCTTAGAATGTGAAAGTCAGCACTGAACAAACCTAATGTAAAAGAAAGTGATACCAACTACTGAATAGAGTAATAGCTGATTTCTGTAAAGCACTTTAAACATTTCTTTAACATACATGCAACATTTTTAAAGACACATTTTCACTGGACGTTCCGTTCTGTGCAGTGCTGAGTAGATCAGCTGGACAAGGGAGGAGCGAGCATAGGACCAAATCCTTACAGGAGACCTTTGCACACTCAAGCAGAAACCATCTGTAATCACAGAAAGCAGAGAGTTCCCATTCAAGCCGAGTATTAGAGTAAGCTCCTTCATGATAGGGATTTTGACTTTGTATCCCCAGAACTTAGTACAGTGCCATATAAATTAAAGGTTTAGTAAATGTTTTCTTGAATGTTGAAAGTTGGACTGAAGTGTTCAGAATACCTGAAATTCTGTGTTACTTCATGCATAAACATACTGCTGGATTATCCATCTAACTTTTAACTTTTTTAATAATACAAACTCAATTTCCTAGAAACTTCAGGGATTCTCCTAAGTCTATGCTATAACAGGGAGCCACTGCCCTGTTTACAATCCAGTCTGCTGAGGACTTTCCACCTGACAGCAGTCAGAACCCTGTTTAGCCTTACTTTTATTCCATTTCATCATTTTATTCCAGAGACATTCTCTTCAAACCTCAAATATCAGACCTTTTCTCATTCTGAAACAAGTAGACTGTGTCTGTGTCCTCTTCATATTAATTCTCTTGTCCTTAGCTATATTCTAAATACTTACCTGGATTGGGTCAACCCAGGTGAGCAGCTTTTGCCTTAGAAAATTTACAGGGTACTGCAAAGTAGAGATTAATTAAGCTAGCACATGTACACATGTATGTGAACGTCATTTTCGAAGAAGGCAAGCTGACAACTGATGTGGGATCCACTAGCTTTCTTCCTCTTTTCCTTCAAAGAATACAGAGTCTAAGAAGCTAAACAGCTCAGTGATGTGCCAGGGCTGTAGAACTAGTAATAATTCTATCTCGTGTAAGTACCTTTTCACTAGGTTCCACTGATAATCTCCGTTCATATCCTCACAAGGAGGTCTTCGCCAGACCACACCAATTTCATTCCTTTAATCCTTCCAGAAGAATTCTCATTTCTCTCATTATTTATGAACCCTCTTAATAAATCCACAAACAGGGAATTATTACTATAAGACAGAGACTATCCCGGATAGACAATTATTTATCTAGTGTTGAAGTGCCAAATATTAAATAAAAAGCATGACTGTTTCATTTCAAGGACTGTCTTTCATATAGAACAAAAACAACCACCCTCCTTCACTCCAAACAAAAATCAAGACTATTTCCCTCTGGTTTACTACACAAATCTTCCTAAGCCTAGGACAAAGCTAAGAATGACCTTTAGTTTTAAACCAACCTCTGGGAAGAAATGGTCACAAAAGCAATAATTTCAAGCAAAGATTATACTCCTGGTATGACCTCAGGCAGGTCATAACCTCTCCATGCTTCAGTTTCCTCAAATGTAAAAGCTGGATGGTCTTCCAATGCCTATATCCACGACTCTAACGAAGGTGCCATTAATCCTTTCCCAGAACAATGGGTAAAATCTTTCCTACTTAATTACACACAACATTGCTATAGCCATCATTCTCATTCTTACAGGTGATTGGTCTTCCCACATTCAAGAAAGAGTCATATGAAGTCAAGGCAGACAAGGATTTTCCATTCAAGTGTGAGCAAAGTAAATATTAAAAGGCAGATTATATATTTTTCATAGTCCTTGAAATAATCTGCGACTCATTTTATACGTTAAACAGGTTTTAAACTGCCATTAAATCCATTTTTATTGCCTCACTAGGGAGCAGTTTGAATTGTGAAATGTAAGTTCAATTAAACTTTGAACACATGTAGAGTCAAATATTTCAACAAAACTGCAGTTTAATTTCAGAAAGTGTTAAAATATATATATATTTATACATCAATTTCTGACATACACTTAATGTGTTAGTATACACCAAAATGATGCTTTCTCTTGAAACTGTATTTTATGAAATGTACATTTTTAATTTAAATACTCAGTATACACTGCACTTAATCTGCATGTTGCATTTATTAAATACATTAAAATCTGCAATGTAACAAAACGTTTTCTGCATACGAAATTCAAAACACCATTTTAAATGAACAAAAGATGGCTCACTTCATTTTCTCCTAGTGCATAGTACACTAGCTCAGCTCCACCCACACCAGCTGTTCGTTCTTTTTCTTTGACATTGTTCACAGACTAATACATATTACAATAAGAGTGCTGGATAAAAACATGAGGTACGAAAGTGGTTCAAAGATTACAGGTCATGCAGATCATGCTAGACAGCAAAGAAAATTGTGAATGAGAAAACACTAAATAAAAAATACATAAAGAATGTGCATTATAAAAAAAAAAAACTCCATTACACAGCTTTGCTTCTTTGGTTACAAAGTAGGTTGAACAATTTCACAGCTTTTTATTCCCACCCAAAAAAAAAAAAAAAAAAGGTCATACGAAATGTTGAAAGCAGAGGAATCATGGCAATTTCTCTATAGAAAGTAGAAACAGAAATGAGCAAAGTTTTCTTCATCAAAATAGCCCATCAATTATTTATTATATCACAATAACTGGTGACTACCTGTACAGATGCACTATGGTCTTCATACTTACACTATACAAAATTTACATTCAAGCTGGGTCTTTACTACTGAAAATAAATACCAAAGGTAAATTGCCATTAGTGTTAGAAATATGCCAGGATTCTTTTGTTCAATTATTGCCTAAACGTTTTATCTAGTAAATGCAATCCCGTCTATCAATTCCTTTACTGATACTTACATTTATTTTTTTAAAAAATTAAGAAAAAGTTCTGTGACATTGTTCATGTACATTATGAAAATAGCAGCCCTGTAATAAATAAAACACAAAGAAATGAAAACTAATGTAGGCAAATGTTACTTCCATTGAAAGAATGGCGGCTCATTAGATGAATGGTTACTTCTAACAAGATAGGAAGGCTCAAGGTAATCCATGGACAACAGGAGACTGAGCGCCACCCAAGCTCTTACAGACCCCGCCCCCTCATGCGCACCAGGTCACAGGCAGACTTTCCTGGCTTTAATAACCCTCATCTATGCCTTTCCCTGTGTCCTGATGACAAACAACTGAACATCGACTGTGCGGCATGACATCTCAAAGTGAGGACTAGCTCTTGGAGGATGATTGTCTAATACTGAAAAGGCCAAACACACACGTGGCTATAAAGTGGAGAGAACATCAGTGGCACACCAGGACAGACTGCTTTCAGGTTTGTCTTAATGAGGCGAGAAAGCTTTAGGCTGAGGACACATTCGGCTGCTGAGGAGGCTGCGCTGGCTGTGGAGGCTGTGCTATCACTGTCTGCTGTTGAGAAGTGCTACTAAGATTGGCCTGTTGGGTGGAGAGCTGGGATAATTGATCATTGTTTGAAAGAGATTTTAACAGTGCGTTCTCTCGTTCAAGTAAAGAGTTTCTTTCAACTAATTCTTTTATTTGTTCCTTCAGCACTTCCACCTCTTCTCTTACTGCATACATCAAATGGCTTTTCACCAGATCCTGTAAACAGAATTAACAACGTCAAAGAGAATCAACTCACAGGAAATAATGGATACAAATAAAGAAATGAAGTTCTTTGGTAAACGGCATTTTTTAAAAAACTGACTCTTGCAAATGAGTTTTCAACCTGTTTTATAGTATATGCAGACCAAATACATAAAGTTATTCTTCACAAACGCAGCAAATTCTGCTGACCAACCATACTCAAACGTCAAAGGAATTCTCACTGCCCAATAGAGCAACAAGTGAAGAGGCAAAGCTGGAACTAAAGGGCTGGAGTGCAGAAGAGGCATCTGCTATGTAATTCTAACAATGTGCAACTGCTAGCAATCTTTAAAATTCTATTACAGTTGGGGCAGCTAGGTGGCACCATGGTTAGAGCTCTGGCCTTGGGAGCCAGGAGGACCTGAGTTCAAATCCGGCCTCAGACACTTAACACTTATTAGCTGTGTGACCCTGGGCAAGTCACTTAACCCCAACTGCCACACCAAAAAGCAATAAATAAATAAAAATCTATTACAACTAATTTTCCAAAAATTTAATTCATAATATTTTGAACACAATCCTTATTTGCAGATTACTAAAGCATGTATATTTCACAAACTAGCTGTATATCAAAAGCTGGGAACATAAGTAAATTTATCTTAAGAGTCCATAGAACCCAAAGGGTTCACTTACAATATTTTAGAGGTTGCCTTAAGCTGGACAGGAAAGAAATTACCTATTTCTGAAAGACTCCTCCTCACCCCACTCCCCCCTCCCCCCAAAAAAACAAACAACCCATAAGACCCTTGATAAAACTTTTTCTCCATGAACTCACAGAAAAGGGCAGAACACACTGCCTCTGATGCTTGTTTATACTTTAGGACATTGGGCAGGTAGGCACTTTAACCTCTACATCTATGAATCTGAGAGACCTGGGGCCTCAGTTTTCTCACTGACATAATGAAGCCCTGGGAGGGTTGGAGTAGATAACTTTTGAGGTCCCTGCCAATTCTAAATATAGAGCTGTGAGCCTGTGAACGAGAAGGAGAAATCATGAAATCATTCATTTAGTTCATGGGCCTGGAACCCGTGGCCTCAAAGCCACATGTGGCCTAGAGCTCTAGGTCCTCAAGTGTGGCTCTTTAAATCCAAGCCCAAAGACTGTGAAGTCCGGATTCAGTCAAAGGACCATATGCCTTGAGGCTGCAGGTTCCCCACTCCTGGTCTAGTTGCTGTTTCAGTCCAAAGCTCTTCATGACTCCAACTGGGGTTTTCCTGGCAAAGATACTGGAGTGATTTGCCTTTGCCTTATCCAACTTACTTTACAGATGAGGAAAATGAGGCAAACAGCATTGAGTGACTTGTCCAGGGTCTCACAGCTAATAAGTGTCTGAGGCCAAATTTGAACTCAGGAAGAGGAGTCTTGCTGATTCCAAGTCCAGTGCTCTATTCACTAAGCCACCTAGTTGCCAATCTAGTTGTATAAGCTGAATAAAGTAGTCCCTATAACAAATAAGCAATCAAAAGGATGCATTTTTAAAGAGAAATTAACTAAACAAATTTTTTGGCAAAGAAATACCCCCTTACCAACAGAACCAATACATTTTGGGTTGTGTTTAAGTACCACACAAATTCTACTTACCATGGCCTGCTCTATTTTGTTGTCAATGGCTACGACACTTGCCCCAGATGCACTGGAAGAAAAAAAATTGAACATTTTATCAAATGTCAATTTAATAACATTTAAGTGCCTACTACGTCCAAGGCATTGCATTCAAGGCACTGAATTTAGCCCTCCCTCTTCTAGCCTCTAAAACAATATGACAAATTGTTAAGAAGTACTTTTCACATTTTATCTAAAATGTTATACTAGTTATTTGAAATTATCACATTTAATCCATTTTGGGGATTTTTGTAACTGTAGGTATTCAGTTTCCTCATCTGTAAGATAAAAAGGGCTCCATTAGACAGTGAAGGTCTCTCTTAACATTGTACAATTCACTTTCTGATACATAAAGACATGTTATTCCAGCTAGGAAGTGATTCCCAGTTTCAAAAATCAACGTGCTTCCCTTCATACCCTACTAGTTTTACTAAAAGCCAGACATTCTGCACCAGCATACAGCTCTTTACAGTGTCCCAGATACCAAAACCTTTAAGAAAAGATAGTTATTCTTCATTCTTTTTAATGTAGAAATTCCAATTATCACTTAACTGTGTGTGTGTGTGGGGGGGAATCACACCATGAAGTTCCCTTATTTTAATATCTGCTTCTCAAACCATCTGAATGATTCAGAAAACTCTACAGCAAACCACATAAGCAAGAGATTAGCGTTCTGGAGCCTACAAGTCAAGGCTTTTGAGGCCAAAATCCCTAACAAGCTATCCTACTAGGTTAGTTTTTCTTTGAAATATTTGAAAACACAGCATATATAAGCACACGAACCATATTAACAAACGAACCACCTACCACTGCCTAAAATTAAACTGTGAAAACTGAGATACAACATTACATCTAGGTATCACTGTTTATAGAGGAGAAAATGTATACTTTCTGTATAAATGGGTACCCTTAAAATGCTAAATTCTTGACATATGCCAAATAAGGGACAGGGACTGGTCCAGCTCTGAGCTGAGGAGCTGCCAAGGGCACTTGTGAGGATGGGGTTAAGTGACTACAGTCACATGGCACATGGGGGAGGAGTGGGGCTTGAACCCAGTCCAGTTATCCATCCATTACACTGTGCTGCCCTTTTCACATATAAAGGGTTTTTGAAAAATGACGTTGTATAAAACAGAAAGTTAATGACATTCTTCAGTTCAAGATTCACATTCTGAAAAATTTCTACAAGTATTAAGAGTATGAACTTGAACAAGTGACATTTTTTTAAAAGGCAAAATATGACTTTGGATCAAACACAACTCCTATTACAAGGCAGTCAACCATCCTATGTGCCGGGCCCAAGCTACGTTTGAGGGAAACAGAGAAAGGCAAAAACAGTGGCTGCTCAAGGAGTTAGTCCATAGTCTAAGAGGGGAAATGATGTATAAACCATGAGGTACCCAACAAGACATCCTTAGGAGGAAGAGACAGCACTGAGGGGACTGGGAAAGGCTTCCTGTAGAAGTCAGGATTCTATCTGAGATGTGAAAGAAGCCAGAAAGTAGAGAAAAGGGAGATGAGGCTCACTTGGGAGAAGGCTTCATCTGCCAGGAGTCAGGGGGTGGAGCGACTTGTGAAGGACAGTATGCCCAGATCCAGGGTAAGAGTGAAGAGGAAGGAGATTCAGCTGTGAGGTAAGGAGGGCCAGCAACATGGGCCCCTTGTCATGAAGGCACCTGACACTACCTCTACTTCTCTGCTTGGACATTTACAGAGCACCCCCTGAAGAACCCCATTTTACAGGGCTGAGTTTTTGTGCATCAAAGAAATCATGCAACTCTACAGTCAAACCAGAATCTTTTCCACTGCCTTGCAGTCAGGTTCTGTTCCAGACAAGTGGCCAGGACACTGGTTCCCGATTCTCCAGTCCCTAGACCCTGCTGACCCCAGCTTTCCTTATCATACATTCAGCTGGTTCTCCCAATATGGATGAGCACCTGGCCTTTTTCTTTCCAAGCACCTCTCTAGGTTTCAATGTTTGCCCCCACCCCTTCTCACTCTCCTTCCCTGGGAATCTTCTTCATAAAAAGAGTTAAAAGGGACATCCAAAGTTTTACCTTTTCCAATTCATACAAGCAGTCTCTCTCTACAGAACAGCTCCAAAGAATAGTAATGACGGGGAACTTAACTATTTTCCTGAGAAGGACATTCAACATTTGACCAGCTTCCCCATTCAGCCAAAATCTACCTCTGTAAATGTGAGGTCTACTTTTACAAAGATGATTCCCCATAGACCATGAAAGATGACTCCTAACCTTACTGAGAGGTTAAATGACTTGTCCATGGTCACACATTTAACATTGTTAGAGGCAAGGAAGGTCTTCCATATGCCTTGACCTGTACTCCTATCAAGAGATCCATATACCTGGTTTTTGTTTTTTTTTGGTTAGGCAATGGGGTTAGATGACTTGCCCAGGATCACATAGCTAGTAAGTGTTATGTGTCTGAGGCTAGATTTGAACTCAGGTCCTCCTGAATCCAGGGCCAGTGCTCTAATCCACTGCACCATGTGGCTGCCCCTCATATATCTGTCTAATTGCCTGGGTTGCAACTCACTTAAAACCATGGAGATTGACAAATGCAGCTGAAAAAAGCAGGGCTTCATATATGCCTTTCTACTTAATGTAAAGGGAAATCAAATATTTACATAGACAACAATTTTAGGTCCAAAAATTCAAAAGTTAATTTAGTGCTATCATAGCTTAAAACTGTACTAAGATTTCTGTGATACCCTGTATTACCTTCTACACAGCGGAATCTTCTTTTACTTTTGCCTAAGGCAAACTCCAAAAAAGGGAAAAAATGAATTTACTGTGAAAATAAGCTAAAAAAAAAAATATCACACTTTACAATTCTGCCAAAGTAGACTTCTGGCTGCTCCCAGAATTAATCACCCCATCTCTCACCTCCAAATATTCAATATGCCTAATCTCTGCATCTTAGTCACTGCTCAATTTCAGTGTTCTCCCTCCCCCAAAGCATACCCTGATCTCCTTTTTATTAAATGCTCCAGCATTATATTTGCATTATATTTGCGTGCACGTTGCATTCTCTTCAGCAGAGGGTAAGCTCTTTACAGGGCAGAAATGGTTTCACTGATGTCTTTGCATTACCAGCACAATCCTGCTCATGATATGTACTTATTATTTGCTAAAAGGGTGAGGATATGACACGGTTAAAAAAAAAGTGTAAAAAATATTTTGGTAGCCTCTTGATAGACAGTTCCTTCCTAAAAAAAACTTTCAGATAAGCAGCCTTTATTTTTCTTTCCTACCAGGTTACAAAAAAATGCTAATGATCAATAACTCGAAACAGCATCTGCTCAGTAACCAAGCGATGTGGTTCGTTTTACCCTATGGTGGTACAATGGGGATCAGATGGGATTCATTATATCAAATGGCTACATGATGTCTACTTGTACTAAGCTCCTGTCTCATCTTTACATCCAATCAAGTCCCATAGTTAGATGTCTTTAAAAATCCATCAGTCTGAACAAAAAAAAAAAAATAACAAAAACATTTGTCCATTCAAGATGTGGACCTCCAGGTTCTGAATTTACAACTTCCATCACACAAATTACAATACTCTTTGCCTTCAACCATAAGAGTCAAATGATGTTTGTTTTAACAGCACTTCCTCTGGCTTAATTCTCTCTAGAACCAAATTTTCAGAAAGAGTATGGCAAATTCATTTTTGCTGGATTAAATCAATGATATTTTAAGATAAACATAAATACTTGATTCAAGGTTTCCAAATAGCTTTGGATACAATCCTCCAAAGATATAAAAGCAAACCCTTGATTAATTGGTATACCAGGGAAATAGGATATTCTGGTTAACTGAATTTTCTGATAAATTAGAGACTGTGTACCATATTCCTTTCCATTTTAATCTCTGCATTAAAAATCTAAAGCATTAGTATTGGCTTGAATAGAAAGTATGGGCCAAAAGAGCTGGATTCAGCTGTCATTCTTCTAGAGAATGAATTTGGACAACTCAGTTAATCCTTCTGGACTTCAGTTTCCTCATCCTTAACATGAGGATTAATACATGATTGACCTTACAAAGTTGTTATGAGGCTACAATGAAATGGCTATGAAAAGTACCATGTATACCTGTACAAGGTTACAGCCAACCAATTAATGAGCGTCTTCTGCCTGCTAGATATTGCGTCCAGCATTGAGGATCCAGAGACAAACATTCTACAGGTGGAAGTGTTGGGAAGTGTGGTGCAGACCAGGAAAAAAAGCTTGGAGATCTGAAGAGGTCAAAGTAGGGGAACCACTGGGGACAGCCTGGATTCAAGTCAACAAGCACCTATCAGAGGCTGGGCACTAAGAATACAAAGATGAAAACGAAGTGATAGAAAATGTTTGTGGTTGGCCATTTGAGGGATGGTAGTAGCCTCGGTTACAATGGGGGGGGTTGTTAAATAAAAACAAGGGGGCAGTGGAAGCATAAGAAGAGAAGAAAATTTTGAAAACCGTTTGTACATGTCTTATCTGTTGTGTAACAGAGTTAAAGTCGTAGTGATTATATTATTTTCCAAATAAACACACAACCGATCAGTGGTCATGTCTGCCAACTGCCAACAGGTCTTAACAAGCAAGTGCTGGTTGTCGTGAAGTCCAGCATGCATCAGCAGGAATATATGCGTGTAATGATTTGTTTACAATACAATACTATATGGTTACACGATGCAATACATCATGAAAATTTCAATGCAGGAAAAAACTCACAAATTTATAATAAATTATTAAATTTAAGATGCGTCACTTAAAAAAATTTATATTTTTGGAAAATGATGCAAATTAAAAAAAATGTTAAGGAAAGATTTCTGGGGGAGGTGGGGGGACTGGATGGATGGATGGGGACATTGAGTCTGAGAATTTTTTTTTTTTAAAGGTGATGGTAGGCCAAGTAAGTTTGGGAACCTCTAGTCTAGAGGATTCCCAGTGTGGAAGATTTCCCTTGCAGAGATGGATGGCCTGGACAACTGCCCACCTGACACAGCTACCAACTCAAGGCTTGA